TCAAAGGCTTTGATCTCCGAAAGCAGAGTCGTTGTGTTGTATACGACACGCATTTACACAAAAGGATCAAATTATATCAGTGAACGATGGCTATATGACCGCGCTTTTACGGCAGTGCAGCCATTAAGTGTAACCAATTCTCCGTTTTACGTCAAAAATCTGTTTAATGAGACGTTCGCCATTCTTATACGCAAGAGTATAGGAAGAGGTTCATAAAAAGAGGCTGTATCAAAACATATTGGAATATTCAGCGGTTAATGACATTTTAAAATGAAACACTGAAAAAACAAAATAATTCATAACCATTCTCCTGACATTTTACGTCTTTTCATACAAGTTACGTGATACAGAGTACAGAGGAAATGTTAAGTAGTACAGAGGAAGTACAACTATTCTAATGCTGCAGCAAAAGAGGTGTTTTTTCAACAGAAAGAATATTGAGAATCCCTTTTATCTACTAGAGTACATATAACTATTTTTTCTATTACCAGTGACTTAGGAGTTTTCATATATCACTGTAATAATTTCACTGGACATTTGAAACTCTAGGACACTAGACATACTCACATCAGATAAAAAATATTGATCGTCCTCATATTCTCGATTAGCAAAACAATCAAATAAAGAAAAATTATTTTATTTTGTACATTGCAAATGATGCTCCTCTGTACATTACTTTAGTCCCAGCATATACTACGTGAGCGTTTAATAATCTACACATTTCCCTACTTTATATTGTAATGCTCCCCCAAAACTTACAAATAATGTGCTATTGATTTCGGCAATACCTAGACTAAAAAACCTTGCATCAGAACAGGATATTGTACTGTCCAGGAAAGAATATTTGTTGAATGCTGAGAATGGTGTACCAATTAAAATGTATTTCAAAATTTTTTCTAGTTTCCTAACAATTACTATAGACACAAATCATTACATTCCACAAAGCATTAATTGATTGAAATTCTCGCATTACGGTACTAAGAAAATTACCCAATAAAAAAGTTTTCACGCACAGACTTTTAACATATTCCACCTATAGACGTCGATGTTTAGCTAGTCGCAAAGCACGTGAAGAAGTTCTGCTTCTACAAGACGACCCAAGGACTTTTCATTAAACAAGCAAGAAAACTTACCATCCTCCCAACCTCCCCATTTTCATTAAATACTCGTACCAACTTAATTCTGAGCATCCAAGTATCTGAAGCAATCTAAGTCAATAGGTCAAAGACAATGAAGTTGCAAAGATAGTTAATTCTTCAGAAATCACGAAAACCGCATTCCAGACGAAATGAAGAAAATTGTGAAAGAGAAGTCGACGAAGAAAGAATGAGGAAGTGAAGGAGTTGGTGGAACACAGGAGATAATTTCCCGGGAATGATTGAGCTCCTTTAATTTCAGTTTGGAGCAAATTTCTCGACGCTGTCATAAAATGCGAAAAATTTTACGTAGAGGAAAAAGAGAACAAATTCGTGTGCTTACAGACGGGAACGTTTACATAAAAAACTCATAATATTCTCGTGCTCAATGAATGGTTGAACAGCTAAAAATTTCTACAACGGGAATACTCACAATAACAGAATTCTTTTAATTTCAGTTTTACATTTTACGGCAATGTTTTTGCAATTCATTCGTCGATTTAGGAGTTTTTAAACATGACCGCACATCAAAACGAGAAAAAGAAAAAAATAGACGCTAATGGAATCGTTTGGGTAACTTCATGATAGTTTTAAATTAAAACATTTTAGATGTTTTCTTGTGTACTTCGTAAAAATAAGTTACCTACTACATCGTTTGCGAAAGGCATTGTATTCACACAGTTCGCGTGGGAACCGTAAAAATATCGTTGTTCTGAGAAATGTGTGTAGTGTTTCTTTGCGTTCTCGCACACAGTGGTCATTGCGGCATTACAATTCAAATTAATTTCGGTTTAGACATCTGAAAATACCTATGAAAAAAACGTGTAAAACCGTACTTTCGTAGAGCAATACTGCAACGAAAACGTTCAGAAATATTAACTATACATCAACTATTAACAACCACAAGTATCAATTATACATCAACAACTAAGCAACATCTCGCACGATGACTCACGTGTGACGCAATTGGAATTAACTATAAGAAAATCTGCAACAGTCAACTTCAAAAACATCGAACTGCCTCAATTTACGCAAGGCAAATGTTGTGACTTCGATATCAATTTTAATTTGCTTTTGTAGTTTTACTGAAATTCGAATAGGAACATTATTTTTTAAATCATCTGTTTTCAAGAACATATCCAAACAAATTAAAATATTTAATAATAAATAATTTAAACAAATTAAAAAAATTTAACATAGCAACACTTATTTTAAACTTTCACAACAATGAAATGATTTTCTATAGCAAAAAGTAAATTACGACCAATAAAATTATTATTCTTTGTAACACTCCGTATTCATTTCATCGGATATCCGTATGGTCCCTCACAAGATCAGAGATCACAATACAGAACCAGAGCACAAGATATGGACACCAATACGCGTATATGCCCTGTGAGCCATTCAAGAGTTCGAAGAACTAAAATATCACAGGCAAACCCAAACCAACATGATTTCAAAACACGTCCACTCTCAATATTGAACATTCAAACTTGCTTCTTGTCAATGAACAACATTGTATTCACCCTTGCAGCACCAATCTCGATATAAAAGAAGTAACTTCGGGTTCTTTTACGATAAACACAAAAATCCTTTCCGGATATTCCCGACAACTTCAAAAGAAAACACCAAAATTCGGTCAACCTCATTTCCTTCTCTTTTTTTCTTTTCCCCCGTTGCACACACGCGCGCGAGCACAAAAGCTCAAGGGGTGTATGACTGGGGGGAGTCTCTCTTTCACAGCAACCTCAGAACAGTAAACGTGCCGACCGCAGTGTCAATAAAGAGAGTTTTTATACGACTCGCACTCCACGCGAAGTACAAAAAAGACGCAACCAAGTTCTCCGATAAAGCGTCGCAAATCTTATTCAGGAGGCTTTGAATGACGCCGGGAAGCAGTGTAGGGGGCGCGGGTTTTTTTTCCATAAAGAGCTCTACTGGCGAAACGTGTCATACGGAGGGGAGCGAGAAGAGTGACAGAAAAGAGGAGAACCGCGTAGTCGAGCGTCAAAGAGTTGAAAGGAGGAGGAGGAAATGGGAAACGGGAAGGGGAAGGAGGGAATGAAAGAGAGAAGGGAAATTGTGGGATTTTCCTGAAGAGCTGAGAGATGTATGTGCTTCGAAACGGGAGATTCTGTGTGCGTGAGAGAGAGAGAGAGAGAGCAGGAGTGAGAGAGTGTGAGAGAATGAGAGAGAGTGTGATAGTGGGAGAGAGTGGGAGAGAGTGAGAGAGAGTGTGAGAGTGAGAGAGAGAGTGAGAGAGAGAGTGTGAGAGAGAGTGTGAGAGTGAGAGAGAGAGTGAGAGAGAGTGTGAGAGAGAGTGTGAGAGAGAGTGTGAGAGTGAGAGAGTGTGAGAGAATGGGAGAGAGAGAATGAGAGAGAGTTAGAGAGAGTGAGAGAGAGAGTGAGAGAGAGTGAGAGTGTGAGAGAGTGAGTGAGTGTGAGAGAGAGATAATGAGAGAGAATGAGAGAGAGATTCTTGCAGGAGAGAGCAGACCACTAGCACAAGCGAGCGCCGAAGAATTAAAGGTAGGGAAGAATGGTAAGAGAATGTGAGAGAAAAATTAGTAGAGAAGGGGAAAGAAAGAGAATGACTGAGCCAGAGGGCAAAACTGACAGGTGAGAATTTCTTGGAGTGTGTAGAGGAACGTGCGAACCCATCGAGTGTGTGTGTGGGGGGGGAATGCTGCATGAGACAGCAGAACTGCATTGCCGAGCGCCATAAAGCGAGAAGAGATGGAGAAAGTAGGAAGTAAAAGAGCGAGAGGGGGAAATCCTTTGAGACGAGAAGTGTGTGGAGGAACCGAAATTTCAATACCTCTATGGATATGAAAAGGTGAAAAGGATATCTGACAGAAATTCGAGGAAGTTGCAGACTTAATATCAACAAGTTGAAAAGCGTAATAATTTTACATTTTAATTAATTCAGTGCGATAAACGTATGCGCTAAATTTTTTAGACATCTGACATTATAGCATACATATTTTATTAAAAATGTATAACATCTATTTTTAAGATTTTTTCGTCACAATTATTAATTGTCGTGGGCTATAATGGAAATAACGATGAAATTGCAAAATAACGAAGAGGAAGATTCGGAGGATATTTTGTGATTTTTCTTCACAGTAGCCCTGTGGAGGCGAGCGTTAATTTATCAAGGAGACATAGTTTTTATACTGCTGCGTTAAGGCTAAAGTAACTAGGTGACGGTTTTACTTAAACATACGTATTTAAATTAATTCTAGGTTAGTTCTATACAGGTACTATATTAGTGTGTCAGGGTGTGTCAACTGCTAAGGTCATTAGACCCGTCTAGTTCAGTCCATGTGCGAAAAGTGAAGGTAAACTTTTCCTAATGAACGGTGAGATCCGGCGCTGCCAAGACATATCGACTTGAGGATTTCCCTCATGTATCTTCTACCAGCGGAGCACCGCCCCTCACAGAACAAGCTCTAATATAATGTAGTACATGCTAGTGTAAGTGTGTGTATGTAAGCGGTGGGGATAGAACAAGGAAGAGGAAGGAAAGATCGCGCGCGGTCAGTGGCCCGTTTGTTAGGGAACAGCTCCTGCATTCGCCTGATGTTGAACTGAGGAAGCATGGAACACTACCGATCAGAGCAGCCGGCCGGCAGAATTCTCTTCCAGGTAGCTGCTGAACTCGACCTAGCTATGTAAAATATTTCGAAAACCCTGCCACCGCCAGGACCCGAACTCTAGAACCCCCGTTCAGAGGCACTGCAGTGGCTTCAATTGATAGGAAACAACGGAACTTCTCCCCCTCTTACCGTCTCTTAGAGTCTAATCTGTTTACGAGTAGGAATTTCTGCGCGTAACGCTCTGCCCGTGTTTCGTGGAAGTTACCCGTCTCCTCGCGAGGAGCTCTCTCGGTTCGATTCGAGTTCCGAGGATCGCGGGTCGAGGGTGGGGGGACGAGGAGGAGGAGGAGGAGGGGGAGGGGTTGCAGGCAGCGGCTGCGGCTGAACTGCCGGGACGCGCAGGGGGGGCGGGGTCGAGTACAGAGGAAAGATGGAGTGGCTCCCGGCTAAATTGGCCGCAGCGCAGACGGGTGGCTGTGGTTGTGGTGGTGATGGAGGCGGTAGCGATAAAAGGGGTGGTGGGTAAAATTGGGAGCGATGGCGGGGGGTGAAATTAATAGCGGTGGTGGTTGAAGTGAAGACGGTGATATTGAGGGTGGAAATATTGAAGATGTCGGGGAGTGTGTCTGTATTTGAGATGATACTGGTGATATCGTTGGTGACGGGAGTAATAAAAGCAGCGGCTGCAATGGTGTCTGTGATGGTCGTGATGCTAATGGTGGTATTGCTGATGCTCGCAGGGATGTTGAGGGTGGTAACGATGACAGTGATGTTGATGATGGTGATTCTCATGGTGATGTTGGTGATGCAGATTCTTGTGCCGATGTTAATAGTGGTAATGGTCAAAGAGATTTTAAGGTTCGTTCTGGTGATGATCGTTACGTTGATGGTGATGCTGACGATGGTGGTGACGGCGGGATATTTTTACTGGCGATGATGATAGTGATGGTAACGGTGGTCACGATGTAAAGACAGTGGCGGCGGTGGGATGGTGCTACGGTGATGTTGATAGCGGTCATCGTGAAGGTATTTTTGATGTTGACGTTTGGGATGGCGGAACAGGCGGGGACATATAAGTGGTCATGGTGGAGGAGGCAGCGGTGGTAGCCATGTTGGCAGATTTAGGGCCGGAGACGGCATGGCGAATGAGTATTTAGTTTCTCAGTCTCGTAACCTTCTACGGACATTATTCCCGTACATCTCGCACATGATAAATCCGTCAGTGATAGTCAGATAAATCCGGTAGCGTCAGAGGCGTTTGTGGCGATGTGAAGGGGCGATGTGAAGGGGCGATGTGAAGGGGCGATGTGAAGGGGCGATGTGAAGGGTCTATGTGAAGGGTCTAGGTGAAGGGGCTATGTGAAGGGGCTATGTGACGGGGCTATGTGAAGGGGTGATGTGAAGAGGCAATGTGAAGAGGCGATGTGAAGGCGCGATGGCTGTTTCCACCGCCACCGCCACCGCCACCGGCGCCTCGCGGTCTCGCAGGACAGGAAATGAAATGAGAAGTTCACAGAATAATTAATTCTTCCAGGGAACCTTCTCGGCAGCCTATCGCTTGGGAACCGCGCATGCGGCCTGTTGCGATCTCTGCCAGACTTCTGCTCTCCCAAATTCCCCCCCTCGCTCTCCCTCTCTTTCTCGCTGAAATTAGCGTTCTTTTCCTTAATTTCGTTTTGGCTCTCTAACTTCGTCTATTTAAAATCTGCCTCTTCCTTTCTTACCGGTAAGATTTGCAACTTTGCCGCATCTTTGTTCTCTGAGTCTCTCCCTTTCTTTCTTTCCCGTTCTCGCTCAAATACGCGCTACTATCCTGGCTCTCAATTAGTTCTCTATGTTCACCCTAAATTCTGACTCTCCTTTCTTGCAGATACTTCGTCTCGCTTTGATATTGTCTCCAACCTAGTTCTCTGATGATCTCTCTCTGTCTCTCTCTGTCTCTCTCTGTCTCTCTCTGTCTCTCTCTGTCTCTCTCTGTCTCTCTCTGTCTCTCTCTCTGTCTCTCTGTCTCTCTCTCTCTGTCTCTCTCTCTGTCTCTCTCTCTGTCTCTCTCCGTCTCTCTCTGTCTCTCTCTCTGTCTCTGCCGTTCCCTCTCTCAAACTAGCGTCCTCTTGTCCTAACTCTCGAAATGGGTAATTTCATCTGCCTTACACTCTGTTCCTCTCTTTCTTACATGTATTCTCGCTTTGGCATTGTGTCGCATTTTGTTATCTTCCTCTCCCATCTGTTTACTTGTGGTTTTTACTTACTTGATACTTTACTGGGAAACGGTTATTGGGTAGATAAGACCATATGTTCTCATTATATCTCAGTATTTGTTAAAATAGTGAATAACCTGTAAATAATTTGAATAAATAATACTGTTCTCCTAAACTTGTTACTGACTTATACTTTTCTCATTTCATTGTTTCGTTGTTGTAATATTTTTAGCTCTCTTTTCCTGGTTCTCAATTTGGTTTTCTGTCTTCCACTGCCTTAAATTGCGTTCCTCCCTTTCCTAAAGATAAACATCCTCGCATTCACATTCTTAATTCGTTGTTCTGTAACCTTCTCTTACATAGCTATTTGCAGTTTCTGTCTTTTTTAAATTTTCTTTACTGTTAATTAGAGAAGATTGGAACGTAGAAATGTTCCTACTGCAACCAAACATCACCCGCTCATCCTATCATCTCTTCTAGACCGTTATTTGAGCAAGGTGTTTACATACTTCTTCCTCCTTGCCCCAATAACGCCATTTCTTTCGTAAGTGGCAAGCTTATATTCTCTAAACCCTTTCTTTTTTCCCATTGCCCCAACCACGTTCTCTGGCCTTTCTTTCCGTCTCCCTTCTGCCATCGGGACAAACTTCCATTAAGCCGTTTTATGCTGCTTTTCCCCAATCTGTCCTCCTCTCCTGTTTCTTCCCTTATTAATACCACTCCCCGTCGTTAGAGAGACTCCAACCCCCACACCCCTCCTCGACCTTATTCTTGCTCTTTCTATCCCTTTTCTTTTTCATTTCCTCTTCCAGCACATCTTCCATCTTCAACCCAAACTAACCCTCTTTCATTTACAACGTTATCTCTAGTTCGCTATCTGAACAAGCAGTACACAAGCTCTGGATCTATCTTCACTCCCTCTTCCGTCTTAACTAATAAATTCCACCCCTTTCATTAGCGAAAGCGTCTCTCTTCCAAAAAACTCTCTCCAGGCCTGCATGCTTTCACTTTCTTTCTTCATCTCTTCCTTCTAAAATCCAACCATACTGCCTCACTCACCGCGTCACCTCCACATCGCTATCTGCGCGAGCCTTTTACAAGCTGTTACCATTTCTGGATTCGCCGTCCTTACTCCTTTACCTCATTAAGGCAACACGCCCCGTTCGAAAGAGCTAGCTTCTCTTCCTTTGACCACACCTCAACGTATTCCACTCACCACTCCGCATTTCGTCTGCCGACTGCGAGAGACAAAGAGAGAGACAGAGAGAAAGAGAGAGACCTGTACAAGGTGTTTCCACGGCAACGGCGCCCGGAAGCCATAAAAGACGAGAAAGAAAATTGCCAACGAATCGTGGCCCGCGCGTTGCCTCGCATTCAATTCGGCGCCCCACGCCGCGGGTTTTGCAAACTCTTTGAAATAAAGCGGCCATTGTGTTGCGGACAGGCAGCTGTTGTGAGTTCTTTGGCGAGTTATGATACCGCATTCGGAAAGCGCTGCAGTCGCTGCTGGTTCAGGACGTTGGGTTCAATCAGCCTCTCGCAACATTTGCGGACGTATAGCTTTTTAATGAACTGTGTGTGTCACCACTGCACATACTTTCTCGTATTACTTCTAACTGATATGTAATGTACTATTGTTGCTATTATCCTACTAATTCTGTAAACGTCTTACAAAAAACGCTTTGCGGCAAAAGAAGCACGAGAAAATAGAAATGGGAATTTTCGAAAGTTCATAAATTTAAATAAAAATGGATTTGTGCCGTATTAGACGCCAATTTGCTACATTCGAGAGAAAAAATTTAAGAACAAATGTGGAGAGATGTTTGAAAAAAAAAAGTCCTAGGATCTTTACGTAAATACCACGAAAAATCAAAATAACGGTTTCTAATTCACAGACTTTGGATTACGATGAAAACGATCGGAAGATCTCGTTTGAGAAAAAAACTATAGCCTTTTTAGATCCTATTTTCATTCGTGACGAAAAGATTGGGCGGGGCGGGGCGGGGCGGGGCGGTGGGGGCCGGGCGGGGCGGCGCGGGGCGGGGGGGGCGGGTGGGGCGGGGCGTGACGGGGCGAGTGGAGAGGGAGGGGCGGGGTGTTGAGGAGCGGGGCGGGCGGAGCGGGTGGGGAGGCTGGTGGGGCGGGGCGGAGCAGTGGAAGTGCGGGGCGGGGCGAGCAGGGTGGACGGGGCGGGGCGAGGAGGGGTGGGTGGAGTAGGGAGGGGGGGCGGGGGGAGGGAGCGGCGGCGGTGGCGGGATTTGGGCGATGGCGTGGAGGTGGCGAGCAGGGCGTGGAGGTGGGGGTTGGGCGGGGCTGGGCCGGGGGTGAGGGAAGGGAGGTGGGTGGAGGGGCGGGGAGGGGCCGGGGGGGGCGGGAGGCGGCAAGTGGCTTGGCGCAGCGTGCAACTTCTTTCATTTGCGCGCTGCAGCCGGCAGGAATCGAATAGCGCCGGGCGAGGGAGGCGGCGGGGGGCGGGCGGGGTGGGGCGGCGCCGGCAATCCGCTTATTGCCCCGCGGATCGGCTGCAGGCGCCGCGGCGCTGCGGGCTCAGGGCGTCGCGACGCCCAAATGAAGGACCCCGACGCCCGCCCCCACCACCACTGCCCCTCGGCTCACGGGGCGACCGGGACGTGACGCGGGTTTAGTGGCGATGGTCAGCGCGACAGCTGCGGGGCGACAGTGAGTAAAATATACGTGGGAGAGCGAGGACGATGTGACGCGGGTTTAGTAGAGGTGGTAGCTGGGGTGAAGCGGTTGGACAGTGAGCAAAAGACATGTACGAGAGCGAGAAGGATGCGAATGGGGTTTAGTGGCGATGGTCACTATGACAGTTGGGGTGAAGCAGGTGGACAGTGAGTAAAATATGTGGAAGATCGAGGAGGATGTGACGTATGTTTAGTCACTGTGGTAGCTGGGGTGAAGCGGTCGGGCAGTGAGCAAAGGATATGTACGATGACGAGCAGGTTGTGATGAGGGTTTAGTGGAGGTGGTCACTGTGACAGTTGGGCTGAAGCGGTTGGACAGTGAGCAAAAGATATGTACGAGGGCGAGGATGATGTAACGCAATGTTAGTGCGATCCTCATTCTTGCGGCTGGGGTGAAACGGTGATTGTGGAAGACATTGGTATGTTGAAAACTATCGAAACGGAATAAAGATGAAAGAGTGTGGAGAAAAAGTACCGTGAAAGACTCGCATAGATTTATTCCATTCAAAACCACGATACCTTATTTTACGCAGCGACACTCGGGTCAACGGGACTGATCTTCCGCTTGACAATACAAATTTCTATTTTGCTTAGGGGCTTGTTTTAGGCTTAATATTCTTTCAATGCGGTAAATCTACAACATGGGACAGCCGGCTTTTCGCCATCGAAATCACTGATTTAGTTTTAGAATCAATAGTGATAGCGATTGTACTGGGACGGTAAACGAGCGGAAAACGTTGTCAGGACGTGATGCGGTGATTTGGAGAAGGCGAAAGGGTTGTGACGTGGTTGTTTTCGCGATGGCAACTTGGCCAGTAGACGGAATTTGTAAAAGATGGACACGGAGTAAGAGTGATGAAAGGCGTCGGCAAAGAAATATTGATGACGA